CCCCAAAACCCCAAAACCCCAAAACCCCAAAACCCCAAAACCCCAAAACCCCGAGTTATGAGAATGAACTGGAAAACTGAAAATGATGAATAAGATTTCATGCTAAAATATTATGAGAATGAATTCGATCAGCAATTTGATCTTTTAAGTAACTTGTAGAGAATTTAACTAGGTCTAAGCCTAGCAAATCCTTGCTTTTGCTGATAGGAAAACATTGTAATCCTATCAAGCTAAGGCTTTGCCTTTCTTCTCCGGTTAGTGTTCTCGAAAATATCGCTAGCGTCAATCTCGAATGACACTACTTGCTTCTTTTTCTTGAGGTTTGAGAACTTTCCTAATGAGTTCCTCTTCCTATCCTTTGCCATTTTAGAACGTGTTTTGTACTTGATTTTCTTCTCCCTGTTCTTGTAGGGAAGGCCATATTCGGGCATCAGTTTGAGGAAGGCAAGTCTCTTCACTCTTTGTTTTAATATCCTTTCATGCCTCTTCTTCGTCACGAAGATAATAGGACCGTCTTCATCAATATGCTTGATCATAATCAAGTCACTGTTTACTGGGAGCGTTTGGGCGGGGTCTTCAGTGTTAAGCACAGCTTCATTTAAGCATCCTTGGCTCTGATCATCCTCAGAGACATTTGTTGTTAAATTAAGTGGGGCTTCAAGAGTGACAAACTCTTTCACTTCGTCTTCCATGATAGGATTCTCCATTTGTTGCTGAACCTCTGGAGCTTCAATAATTTGCTCATAAGATTCTTCAGCGAAGTCTCTATCTAACTCAGCATCATCGTTTAGATCTCTAACAAGATCAAAAGGCTGATACTCTTCTCCAAACATGAGTTCGGGGTCCCTCCAGTTGGTAACCTGGTAATCTTGGGAAGCAGTCATTTCTAATTTTCTAATTATTTTTACCCAATCAAAAAAAGTTATATGTCATAAATATCCACTTAAATCAAATTTTCAATACAATTACACTCTTTGGGGTTTTGGGGTTTTGGGGTTTTGGGGTTTTGGGGTTTTGGGG